GCTGCTTCGTCACATTGGAGTTCCTCCGATGCAACTGGCCAAATTTTACGTCTGCTGTATTTAACGTTATGGCAAAGGCGCTTACAGCAGAGCAATCTATGAATTTTGTTGTCTATTTCAGGAAGTGGAACAAATTCAAATCTCATCGGGTAAGATGGCAGCCGCACATCGCGAACATCAGCTAAGAGGACGCCGTGCTTTGCACGCTATTCGAACATTTATTAATGTCGACTATGAAAACATCCGAGACGCGCGAACCAGTGAATTTTTCGAGGAATTGCCTTCAAGTCTATCATTTTATTCCTTTGCCTAATTAATAAAATATGAAGTACCAAAAAGAGAACCTGAAAAGTTGTGATCAAGGGCTGGGCGCTCAAAATGGTTCATTTATTTAAAAAGATTTCAGCGAAAATTTTTTATCTTGCTATCCGGCATTTCCTTCTTCTATACGCACTTTGCATTTATTTTCTCATCCATTCTATTTTCAGAAATGTACGAAAACTAGTGACTGCAAAAAGTAAATATGATTAACATATCTGAATCTGCTAACTGTTGCTAATAAATGTTTAGCACTGGAAACGCTACGGCAGGAAGTTGACTTTGCAAAGCGTCAGCTTAAAGGTTCACAGACGCTAGAAGAAATTGACACCAATAATGCTGTCTACATGGATGCTACAAAAAATTTCAAAAAACAGCTGCACGATGTAATTTTTATTATGCTTTTGTGATGCAAGAATGCGCTAACACGTGATCATGTGATTTCTGTGTGTGTGTGTGTGTTGCGATTTCCAGATTCACGGAAGCAATGAAACTAAACTTATGACAGTTAGTCCTTCGCTGTGACTTGATCTTCAGATGTAAGATGGGCGTTCACGACCTCTCAGTTCTCGAGTGTGGGCACTTTAAAACCCCGTACTTGCTCTGTACGAGAGGTGGAGGCACTTGTGAAGTAACTCGAGTGCTGTCGATGGCTCCTCTTTCAAGGGCTACTTGCAGGCAGGCTGATGGTCAGTCTAAGTCTCGGCATACGTGAGTACTAATTATTTACCACTGGAACGAACGAACGAAATGTAGGAGGACTGAATGTTTAAGGAACAAAAAAATTTATAAACTAATATTCCTGTTAATTCGAGCCATGATTTAACAGCGCAGATGAAGAGAGTGGTTACATCAGCGATATCTCTAGCAAAATTGAAAGCGGCGAATGAAGTTGACGTTGTATATTATTAGTGGCGTTTATAGATCGAAGATTTGTTGGAGAAAGTCCCCGCATCACGCGAGAAGCATCGAGTCGAAATTATCAGTTTTTTTAAGGTAGTTTAGAAAATATTATGGAAAATATTACACACTGCTTCAGTGTGCTTAATTTTCTACTTTGTTTGGAAATGGTTTGATTCTCTGAAAAATTATAATTATTCATTCATGTTGCCTCACCGCCACTTTCACACTACAGTTCCTGAAATTTGGTTGCGTCGTGATCTGCAAAGGCAGCCAGTAAAGAGACAAGGCAGAGGGATTCCATTTCCATAATAAGATGCAGGCAGAACATGCATTTTTTTCTGGGTGCGTCAACTGGTGATCTAAAACTACGTTTTTCTTATGATCATTTTTGTCCACTCCTGAAATGTGGAGTTCGATTCCTGGTTTCTTCTGTAGTAATTTTGATCAGTTCGAAAATTTGGAATATATGCCTATCTGATGCGGCATGAGGATACACTGTGCTTAAGATTTTGATTTTAATTGCTACAGCTCACGATGTTCGGAGAAACATGAACTCAGTAAAGAGATAACATGAAGTTCTTCCTTTTCTTGTCATTCTCAACTTGCTGAGAAAATTCCAATTAAGGCACATTATAGCAATTTGGAAGTGGTCCATTATCCGTTGTCCATTTTCATTCTTCAGTACCGTCATTACTTATCAAAAAAGCGATTTCAGAGCCCTGTGTTCAGTGATAAACATGCAAAGGAGAGGACTTTTTGGCGCTTTAAGTAGCGTTTTTCCCCGCTGGCTCCTATACAACAACTATTAAGTGAGAAAAAAAGTCTTCCATTAGACGGCAGACAGCGTTGCACGTAGTGTCCAGTAACAGACAGTGAATGAATAAGCTACTGGTCAAACACGCAGAATTTGGCACCTTCAGAATTGATCGGTCTGTGCATAAAGCTACGGGATGAAACACAGAGACTGCTTCTTAAAATGTCTTCATACACATGACATTCAAGAGAAATCCTTCTATTCTTCTATTTCACTGTTTGCTGCTTTCCATCCCACTACAGTTCATAATAATGACATAACGAAATGATACTAGTTTTTTTTAGGTCTTGAAAACGTACCATCAGGACTGCGTCAGCGCGACCAAGTCGTGATTTGGATCCGGGAGCAGTCGGTGATCTTGTTGAACCATCACACAATTTAAATCTCATTTTCAGGGAACGTTAATCTAACGCTGTTGTTTTTTGCATGTTTTCGTTGTAACAATAATAAACCCAGGCTGAAACGCACCAGGC